TCAAATTTAATTAATAGTTATCGAGATATCTATCGTTAAAGTTTGAGTAAAAATAACAAATTTTTTTTAATAAACCTTTAACTAAAACATGATAATTGCTAGCAAAATTTTAATTTACAGTAATGCATTTACGCTGATTTGCTATCTGCATTAAATTCTATCCTAATATTTTGATACACAAAAAATAAGCACATTTCGCGTAGTTTACTGCATTTGTCCGACACGTTTCGAAAGTTTATAGTCCTACCGAAGACATTGCAATAATATCTTTTTTTTTATGAAAAAACTTCGGTTAACAAATAAGCGTTATTTAATTAAATTATGTTAAAATCACCGATTAATAGATACATGTGGCTGATAAACATATCTGATATTTATAATTTTCGCTCGCAGCCTCACATCATAATGAAATAATCTGAATTGCAATCACATATACATAATTCTTAATATGTAAAAAAAACAAGCAAATAATAAGTGAAAAATAAACATTACGTGACAATTAGACTAATCAGATACAAGATTTTGCAGAGTAACATCAAGATCGATCGCCGTATACGTAACCATACACTACGTGATTTCATTACTCCGTTCCTGGTATTTCCCGATGTTGATTTTTAAGAAAAAAGAAATCACAATTGCTTGGCTAACCAAAACAAAATATAGTATGCGAATAGACAATACACTAGGGAATTAGAATTTGACAAGGATTCTTTGAAATTGTAACTTTTTAAATGATACTTTTTAAAAAATGAAGAATATAAGAGAATTTTACAAATTTCCATGTAGTTAACGACCATTTGCTGAACACAGTAATTTGAAAAGTACAATGTATTAGAATATCTAATATTAGATAATCTATTGAAGTTAATAATTGTCGCTGCAATTTGGGACTCTATTCTCTGCTAAATCTATCTACACTCTTTAAATATTAAGTCTATCCCTAAACCCTAACCAAACCCTAAAAAATAAAATCGGAAAATACACCCAAAAAAAATTAAAAATAGTTCCAAATTTCAACATCAACCAATTTCAGCATCCGCTGCGACAATAATTAAGTATTACAATATTAAATGAGTAGATCAATTATATAGAATGTTCGTAAATATTCTATATATTCTATACGAATACCTCTAAATGCACATGTAAATACTAATCTTACAATCTTGAAATATTCTAATAGTTTTTATATTATACAAAGGGGTCCCACCGCATCCAATTTGCAACTTTAGAATTGGTTGTAAACAATAAGATTTACGGTAAAGGTTTTATACTGAACTTAAGAGTGCATGCATCATAGATTATCAGACAATTCTATACTTCTTTCTTTATTTCACAGGAAATAAATAAATAATACCCTACGAAATTCATGTCTACTTTTTCTTGAGAAATTATGGTGAAAGAAAACATAAACAACATAAGGCAGAGTATGCAAAAATTTTGCTCATACTGTCAAGATACACCACAAACAGCAGGTGAGATTATGCGTATATCAATACAAATCCCTTTAGTTACATTAATAAATCTCTTACTACCGTTGGCCACTGCTTACAGTACCCGGGGTCTTATTCAAGAACATCATTTTTAAAATTGAATAGTACCGGGTACTATTCACGAATCCAGTGATCTCATTGGTGGATAAGGGGGTACTTTATGTGGTAGGGTACTATTTTTGGGGATACTGTAAGCAGTGGCCAACGGTACATTGGTCATTAGTAATACGATTTTATTTTTACACCAAGTGTTGAGCACGTATATTAAAACATAACGTTCGTGTTTGTGTCTAGATCCTAAAATATACAGTGATCAGAATTAATTCTCATGTACAGTATCCATATAAGAAAATACAGGATTTTTAGAAATTCAAAATACGTATTCAGAATAATATCGGGCATGATGCTGAAATTTGAATTTACTGTATTTTAATAAAAAATTTTAAAACACTTTTGGGTGTTCTAGATTTTTTTTTTATGGTTAGATTAGGGTTTAGGGTTTATAATTAAAGAGTATATAGGTGGATTTTATTAGGATTTATATTTTTAAATAGAGACCCTAAATTTTAGCATCACGACAACAATTAATAATCTAAAAATACAATACCAAGACCAATGTGTGACGATGTGTTTAAACAATATTGGTTATCATTTGTGTAAATATAATTGGATTTGTAAAGTCGCGATATTTATTGCTATGCATTGTATAGTCTCTGGCCTTTTTGTGCATAATTTTCAATTTTGTATTTTGTTTACCAGTTTTTTCATGCAAAATAAACAAATTTTACAAGATGTAAGTGAATAAATATTTTTAAACTAGCTTATTTATCCGTGGTATTACCATCGGGATTCTTATTCTTTAAATGTAAGGAAAATTAAATCCTAAAGTTTAAAATAGTTAAATGCATAAGAAATTTGTAGGTGTTTGTTTAAAATCACACATTTATTATATCCATTATTAAAATATTCTGGTCTATTTACTAAGTAATAAAAAATTAATTGGTGCATTTGATAATGTGATGAAATTTAAAATCATTTATTAATAAATAATAGGTTGGAATTTTTTTACATATGCTTACAAGATATTGGTCATGCAACTATTAATGTCATAAAATTTGTTTTGTCGGAGCAAATGGTTGGCTGATATGTGCCGCTGCGCGGCACATTTCAGATCATCACATGATCCAATATCGATGTTATCGTGCAACTGTGATCATGATTTAAAAGTCATTATTGGCTGGCTGAGTTTTAATTCGAGATTGTTGTGCTTATGTAATAACGTACAATAAATAACAAGAAAAAAAAATCTATGATCATAAGAGTTTGCACAATAACTAAAAAATAGGTTTTGTTACGACTTTAAACATATTTAAATAATAAGTTTCATGAAAAGATTGTCTATGTTAAAACAAAGAATAATTTTAATTGCTATGTGTAAACAATGTATTGATAATTAAATATGTTTGTCAGCTAACACAAGTGAAAGTGTAAATCCACAAGTCTGAGTATTTAAGTTTATTTTATACAAAATTTTTATAAATCGTATAATATCATAAACAGCAGGTGATATAACGATAATGGTAAATAAATAACTCCTTAATCTATATTTTAGAAGTTTACTCAGCATTAAATAAGTCGTTTAGTGATACGTATTATTATTCTTGCACTAAGGTTGAGTACGTACTATTAAATAAATAATCGTGTCTTTGTCAGGCATTTGCAGAATCCAAATATATCTGTTGTATGTGAAATATGGTTATTATAAATTTGGAACTATTTAGTAAATTCCAAATGCACTCAAGTTGAAACAAATTTTAGACTCATTCAAATTGGTAAAAAACTTCAAAAAACTAACGTAAAAATTAATGTGAATTAATTTAGCAATGCTCGATTTTCAATTGCAATATAGTAAAGATTTTATATATATTCTAGTTTACACTATTGCAAGCTTGGTTGATGTATGCTAGTTATTTCTGCAAATTGTTTCACATTTTTATTTTTGTAGCGAATTCTTTCACATTTACGCTTATAAATCATTATATATTTTTTGATTTGTGATATTGATTGTGCTTGTAAAGTTTCTTGCACACTTATAGAGGATTATTATCCAATTCAATAACGAGACTTTATATGATTTCGTAAACAAAATGCTTTTCTGGCCCAATAACTATCAATTGCAGTTCTAATAGTGGATATTATAAGACTTTAATACAGAATTTATAATTTTCACACATGATAAAAGGTTTACGATGTCGGCTAACAGATTTACTATCGAAAATTTGTAAGGATATTCTTACAATTATATCATTTGTTAACAAAATACGAAGCTATTTTAATTGACAAATTACTAATGAAATTTTATTTTTACTTTATATGATTCATGATAATTTTGTGTAAATTTTAAATCCGTTCATTAACCTGAATTCTATCCTCTAAAAAAATTGGGCTAATTTAAGATTCCGTTGCGACATATCTCAATTTGGAATCCTCTACTGCATTTCGGCGTACAACATACGTATGTTTACAAATTTATTATGATTTTAACTGTAACGATCAAATTTCATTTTACGTATAACATTCATAAAGGAAAATGCAGAATTTCTAGAATCACTAATATTTAGAATACAAAATTCTTCATTTAGGATCTTCATTTAAGCATCGATTTTATTATTCTTCTAATATTGTAGGGGGAGTACTATATAATGCTTTTAATTTCCAAGGCAGATCGTTAATAAAGAACTGAATTGGAATGTCGGATATTGTTGAATTATAATGCTGAAGAATTATATCGATAAACAAAAGAAAAAAAAAAAAGGATATTGTATATGTGCAATATAATTCGATTAAATACCAAATATAAATATTCAATGGCTTAATAATTCAACTATAGCCAAGGATAAGGCCATTTCAACATACTAAGTGCCTAAAGCTACAGCATTGTAAGCTGGGATTTCCCTTAAACATAACGATGTAAAGAAGTTTTTTTTTTGCATCTTATGAATATTTAACTTGTAATTTTATTGGATCCACTTTAAGTTACTTACCATAAATAATTTGATTCTTTATTTTTCCGAAACTTATTACTGAATACTAGTTGGATTAATAATTAGAATCTCAGTATGTATTATGTTAATATGTGATTGTGCAGAATAATTAGGAAAAATTCTGCAACTAAATTTGCCTACACTGCTGTATATATGTCGTAGGTGGGAACAGAATTTAAGTTGATTCGGAATTTTTTAAGGTTAGAGTTAGGATTTTGTGTATAATTGTTCCGTTCTAATATAAGTGGATTTCGAACCTATTATGATTCCATTCCCACCTACAACATATATAACCATTTTTCGGTCATTTTTTACCACTAACATTAATAAGATATTTATAAATTTCCGTTATGTAAACTTAATATAATGATTACATATTATAACGTTTCAATGTTTAATGTAATCAGGTTTTCTAATGTAAAAGGCAGATTTCTAAAATATAACATAAAAAATTTTTTTTGATGATTTATTTGTTTTTTTGTTCATTTTCCAGCCTTAATATATCTAAAAAGAAGTAAATAATGATGAATTTAGTTGTTTAATCAGACAAATACGTATAATGCATAGTTCTTTTTGTATACCTTTAGGTGTAAAATTGTATTTTTGAGTTACATATCTTTTATCTATTAAACCATGATTTAAATTTTAAAAGGACGTGCAAAGTTAAAATAAAAACTATTGAAATTATTTCGTAATAATATGTGAGTTAATGAATTTACCTTCATTTGGGTGTGCAGATGTTCCTACAGGATTAACAACAAGTCTGTTTTCATTCTGAGAAGATTCTACAGGTGACTTTTTGACAAATTCTACAAAATTTTTAGTACACGTATGAAATGTGATTCAAAATTTTGACTAAGGTTAGTAAATAAGTTATTGCATAATTACATAAAAGTAAATACCAAATTACCTGTTTTTAATTTCAATATTCTTTTACATAATGTTTCTGCGTTGGGTCTATTTTCTATATTTGCATCCCAACATTCTTTCATCAATGTTTCATATTCATATGGTGTCCCTTTTACAACCTCTGGCCTTATTCCTTCGAGAATAGCAGTTTTAAGATTTGTATCGTCTTGATTAATGAATGGTGGCATTCCAGCTGAAATTTCCCACATTATCATGCCCATACAATAAATATCTGTCTTATGCGTATATTTTTGATTTTGCAATATTTCTGGCGCAATATAAGGATGTATGCTCTGAATATTATCGAAAGGCTCATTGATTGGCCCACAAAATCTCAAGCCACTAATCTTCATAACTGAATCAAAATATGATCAGGATGTAGGTCTCTATGTATATATCCTGTTTTATGAATGAAATTTAATGCTATTGATATTATTTCTACATATTTCAATTTCTGTTCCCAAGTAATTATATGACGATTTTCTCTTAAAAATGAGCGTAAATCCGTGTCCATTTTTTCCATAACTAACATATAATTTTGAATCTCAGGGTTCGTAGTTATCCCAAAGCATTGAACAAGGTATTTTCGAGTGTCATCAATGAAAAAATATGATTTGATCTATAAAAAAAGATGTAGAAAATTATTTCAATTATTATATAGATAAAACATAGCTAAAGTAAATAAATATACATGCCTCTCGAATCCATTTACTATTATAATTTTTGGAACCCTTTAGTATTTTACGAATCCATTTACTATTATAATTATCGGAATCCTTTAGTATTTTAAGAACAACTGGATGCCCACCAAGTCTTTCCAATAATTGCTTTTCAATATTCCAATTAGCAAAGGATCCATTATTCCAAAACGCTATATATATGGAATTTTCAGTTAAGCGTTTAACAAATTTAAAGCATTCAAAAGGTATCCATTCAATCACTCTGTATGGTTGTTGCGTTCGTTGCTGGCAATCCTGAATTATTTTATCTACTACAGAATTCCCGGAAGTCCAATCTTTGAAATGCTCTCGTAAATAACTACGAATACAGTATTCACAGCACCCTTTAGCATAGGTTAAGTTTTTACATATTTCACACTGACGCCTTTCGCCGCTCTGCATATGAATACTAACTTCATCTTCGATTTTTTGGAGATAATCTGTTAAGTATTCCCTTTGATTTTGTTTAAGTAATTTTTGCTGAATAAATTCAGTCAATTGCTCAGTTGATGTACATTCCTTCAATGCAGATTTGAGCATAGTTCCTAATACGCCCAGCACTTCTTTTGAACCAATAGCTGCCACCTTGTATTCTTTTTCTTTTTTAAGAAGTATACTATGTAAAATAGATATTTCATTTTCATTGAGAGTCTCATCATCAGGAAGATTTTTATTGAACAATTCAATTCCTTGTAAATCCTGGTTTGGATTTTCTTCAATATATTTCTTCAAAACCTTTTTAATTTTCTCGACAAATAATGACTGTTTTTTTTCATATCTTTGAAATTCATATGTATTAAGTTTGTTATCATAAAAGGACTGTTTTAAAAATTCTTCCCCATCTTTAGATATAGGAATGGATTGTGGATGCATTCCTGGTTGTGCCATATTTTGATGTGAAATATTCGATAAAGTTGGAAATTCATCTGAAATAGAAACTTTTGGCGAAAGAGGTGGTGGCCGTCCAATATAATATCCTTGTCTTAAGAATCCCTGTTGATGTAATTGTCCTTGGTTGAGATAACCATGTTGAGGTAATTGTCCTTGGCTGAGATAACCATGTTGAGGTGATGGTCCTTGGTTGAGGTAACCATGTTGAGGTGATGGTTCTTGATTAATATAACCTTGTTGAAGTAATGGTCCTTGATTAATATAACCTTGTTGAGGTGATGGTACTTTGTTGAGGTAATTCTGTTGAAGTAATTGTCCTTGGTTAAGAAAACCATGTTGAGGTAGTGGGCCTTGATTGTAATAATTTTGTTGAGGTGGTGATTGGTAGTAACTATGTTGAAAATGTGGGCTTTGTTGGCTTTGAATAATTGGCACTGAGTTATAATGAGTTTTAAGATGAATTCTGTTTTGTTGAAAAGGAGTAGATTTATTTAGATCCTGTATTGGATCTTTGGTAAATGCCAAATTTTGTTGCTCTTCGAGCTCATAACGCCCATAATGTTGATGTTGAATAGGATTCAGTTGATCAACATTTGAGTCAGAATTCATAAGATTATCAGGAGGTTTTTTAGGAATGTTGGGAGGAATTATAGTTTCCTGGTTATTATCAATATAAGAAGGTTTTTTAGAAAGTGGTGAACCTGAGTTTCTATCATTAATTTCAGGAATACTTTGGGTGATGAACTAACAGATGAGGAAACAAAATTTTTTGGTTTTTTTCCAAAAATATCGTGTGGCTTCTTTGAAAAGAAAGAAGTCTTTGAATTCTTTAGCATTTCATCAAGTTCCTCATTAATATATTCAATCGAAGGTCGTTCTTGAGGAAGAAAACTCCAAGCTTGTTGATAAAGTAATTGATATCTTGATGGAGTATTTTTAACTGGAATTTCATGCTCTGAGTTATTCTTTATCTCCATGGCAGTTTTGTTTTTGAAAGGATTTATATTGCTTGATATTTCCCAGAGAATCATTCCAAAACTGTATATATCAGATGCTTTATCTCGTTTGTAGCCATTATTTCTCAAACACATCGGATCTATATATGCTGCCATTCCTTTTATAAAAGAATCTCATCCAAGAAGACTTGATTTTGATATTCCAAAGTCAGTAATCATAAATCTATCCTCGTGCACCAATACATTATTTGGATTCTGTAGCGTAGACACAAAATAATACATAAATAATGATTGATAATATACAATTAATTAGATTATACCGTATAGTCACGAAATAATGCCCATGAGCATTATTTAGAATTAAGCTGAATTCGAGCCAAAATTTGAAATTACACCCTACACGTTATTTCACGACTATACGGTATTTGCTTAAAAAATCAAGAACTTTACCAGATCTTTATGAGCAATATTTTGATCGTGGATAGCTTTGAGCCCACTAGCAATTTGCTTTCCAATAGAAATCTTCATTTTCCAATCAATATTTTTAAAATTTTGGCGAAGATAATCTCTTAAATTTCCATCTTTAGCATACTCCAATATCATGAAGTAATTTAATTGTCCTTTATAAAAGGCAAGAATTTTAATACAGCAATATAATAAATAAAAGTAATTAATTAATTAATTAATTAATTAATCTACCTTTACTAATACCATAAAATTCAGCAATGTTATTATCTTCAATTACTTGAGTCGTTTGAAACTGTTTAGTTATTAGCATAGTATATTAGTTAGCATGAAGAATTGGTGTAAATGAAAAGTGAATTAAATAGAATTCCATTAAACAGAAGTTAATAAACTCACTTTACGAATGAACTCTTCATATGAAGAACATTCATTTCCCACAGGAAAAATGTCGAAAGTTTTTAACGCAACAATTTTTCCAGAATGTTTCCAGTAAGCTTTGAAAACTTCACTTTTTGCTGTTTGCTTAATTTCTTCGATATCAGAAAAAGAGTCGTAATCTATTGAATCTATGTACCCTTCAGCTACTGCTCTTTTCAGATATTGATTCATTTTAACTTTTAATTTTTAAACAATGATTTAAAATAATAGTGC